GCGGGACACGGGACGCGGGACACGGCCCCGCGAGCCCTAGTGCCCGCAGCGCCAGGCCCGGCTGCCCCCGCTGCCTGGGTGCCCGCGTGGGGGCAGTTCCCAAGGGCACCCGGTGCCAAACACCCGCTCTCCGTGYAGGACCTGTCCCCGTCCCTCGGGTACCCACATCCCCAGGGGACCCCTTCTCCAGGGAAGCCATCCCTTAGGACACCCCATCCCTGGGATACCCCAGTCCGGGAACACCCCATCCCTARGGTCCCCATCCCTTGGGATACACTATCCTTGGCTGCCCCATCTCTGGGGTCCCCATCCCTTGGGATACACCATCCCTGGATGCCCCATCCCTAGGGTACCCATCCCTTGGGATACACCATCCCTGGATGCCCCATCCCTAGGGTACCCATCCCTTGGGATACACCATCCCTGGATGCCCCATCCCTAGGGACCCCATCCCTCAAGACCCCCCATCCCAGGGACGCCTCATCCCAAGGGACCCCATCCCTCAAGACCCCCCATCCCAGGGACGCCCCATCCTTAGGGTGCCCATCCCTCAAGACCCCCCATCCCTGGGACACCCGCTCCCAGGCGCCACCCCGCCGAGGTCTCCTCTCCAGCCGTGCCTGCCACCATGGAGGTGTCGGACACCCCGGGCGCTGTCCCCGCGCTCGTCACGGAGCCGCGGTTCGCCCAGCGGCTCAGGTAAGGCCTGCGGAGGGAACACAGGGGACACGGAGCCCAGASACGCCCCTGAAACGCCTGTCCATGTCCTTGGCCTTGCAGGGAGTATCTGGAAGCAGAGCAGGTCCTGGAYGCTCGCTACCGGCTGCAGAGGATGCCGGAGGGCAGCGTGGCCCTGCCCGTGCTGGGAGACAAGCTCACGGAGCAGCACATGCGGGCACTGCAGAGCGGCCCCGAGGCGCTGCCCTGCAGCCRGGCCCAGATCCAGGTTGGCGAGCGCAGCCCCTGGGGGGTCCCGGGTCCCCCAATCCCTCACTCGGAGCTGGAGGAGCAGCGGCAGGGATGCCCTGGGCTTGTGTGCCCTGCGCACGTCCTCGCTGCTGCCTCCTCTCCCTCGCTGTGCCTCGGCGAGCGGGCTGGGGCACGGGCAGGCCCTGGGGTGCTCGGATGCAGGCGGGAAGGCGCAGGGAAGGAGCCCAGCCTCACGCTCGCTCCCCTCTCCCCCAGGACCCCGTGCCCTCCAAGGCGGCGGCGGTGCGCACGCCCGCACAGCGGCTGAGCCGCGCGCTGCAGCGCCTGGTGCTGGCGTCGGGCGGCAGCTGGACGCGGGAGCTGGAGCGCGACGTGCCCCGCGCGTGGCAGCGGCACGGAGACCTCGTCCTGCTGAGCGAGGAGAGCCTGCG